CTCGTTTTTCCAATAACGTGTTACCCTAAGTTAAAATAGTTTATCTATACCAATAAGGCATCACAACCTGTTGATAATTTGCATTACTACTTAATTATTTTATATTTTCTATAATAATGAAGTAGTAATAAAATAATCAACAGTTATTTTTATTTAATACTCTACTTTTAAACGGGCCTTATAAAAATAAAAATTGAAAAGTTTGTAGCGAATTGAAAGAGGCAAACAAGCAAAAAAATTTTAGGCGCATAGATATCTACTACTACTTACGAGTATGACTAAGAGTCAAAAGAAGCGATGCCATCCATGAGAAATAAGATGGAATACGTCTTTACTAGTGACAAGGGTTTCAGGTTCTCATCTCACAGTACTAATGCAAATTAATTCGACCTCAACGTTAAACGTACCTACAATGCCTATGTACGTAGCATCCGTATAATATATGCATAACATGCCGTCCCGTCTTTTCTTTATTACCATAGATCAAGAAATATTAAATTGTAACTTGTTTTACTCACAAATTAATACCGTTCGGTCCAAATTCATATATAGTTAATGATCAATGAACAACGATATTGTGAATTTCATCGTCATTAGCCTGCAACCAATCTATCACTTGACATATGTTAGCATCTCTTAACACAGGGAATTAGAAGTAATTCTCAGGTTTGGCAGACAGGTTAGTGATCGTAATGCTAAACGATTTACACCTTGTATTATCATCGATTTTGATTAAGCCTGTAAAGTAGAAACAAAGTATCAGAGCATAAACCTTTCATTGCGGAGCGCACCAATCTCATCTTAACTTGGTAAGAATCCACATTAAATATACACGAGCCTTTTCGAAAGTAGGTAGGATTTGTTGAATTACTTCCTAAATTGGGGTACTGTAATCTGCTTTCTTTTTCTGCCTCACTTCCTTCTACATCAGCGTATTCGTTGTATGTTCCAGTTGATAATTAAATATATAGGTCATGTTTTAGGCCATCGCTAGCCAAGCGCTCGCTAGTGAAGTAAAACATCGGGAGGAAACCTGTATGTTTGAGAAAAAAAATATTTGGAGGCGACATATTGTCATTGTGACAATATGTGCTGTAGTAGCCACCTACAATTAAGTTTTAAGTTATATTAAAACACGGTTAACGGGAGGATAGACAGTCGCAGGAACGTCTTGCACTTGTAATTGCGACTCCTACCGACGAATAAGGTATTTTAATTGATATATTTTTTTAAAGTGAAGTGTAAATAAATTTGTACTAGATGATAGTTGTAAACAAAGTAGGTTTTAAGTAGGTTGAAATTTTACTTTATAGGGACACGCTGCAGCTATATTATAGTTATAGTACGAATGCGTCTGCTCGACCGGGGCAGGACCACGTTCTCACAGATTACCAGCGTAAAATAGGAACGTAATTCTGCTGTGTTTCGTATGGTGAGTGTAGAGAACCGGAGACCCTTTTTACTGGAACCTAGGCGTTCCATCTTAGTCCTCAGGGGTGACAACGCATATGAATTTTGATTCTTAATTGAGGATACATATGGATGTATATGGGCCACAGCATCTGCTTACCATCAGGTGGACTGTGTGCTCGTTTGTCATCCAATGCTATAAAAAAGGTTATAGATGCATTGTCACATGTGGGGAATAAGACAGAAAGCCTCACAGTCTGTAACTACACCGACTTGTCCCTACAAAAGGTGTATGTGTATATTTCACGTCAGTGGAGTTAGCCAAGTTGGCTTTATACAATCGGTAACGATAATAGAAAACTATTAAAATAAACGGGAATGTCAAATCTCAACGTTAACTTCGTTGACTTCATTCATTTTATAGTTTTCTATCAGGCACTTTTACAGGAAGTGAGCTTGGATTATGGTGTAAACAAGATAGTAAACCAGTAATCTAACATCTTAATTTTCTACAAAAAATATCGTTTTAGTTTTAAGTTAAGTTAAGTTCCGCCAGTATCGGAATCCTCGGCGTTGACATATCGAGTGACGTGCAGTTTCGTGGTCACTTGGAAGAGAAGGCCAAATTGGCCTCTAAAAAGCTTGGAGTGCTCAGCAGAGCGGGACAGTATTTCATGCCGGCACACCGCCTGCGACTTTACAAGGCGCAGGTTCGGCCGCACATGGAATACTGTTCCCATCTCTGGGCTGGGGCTCCAGTACCAGCTCCTTCCACTTGACCGCATCCAGCGCAGAGCGGCTCGAATCATCGACGACCGAGTGCTTTCTGATCAGCTCGATTCTCTGGCACTGCGAAGAGAAGTTGCATCTCATTGCATTTTATTTCGCATATACCATGGAGAGTGCTCTGAGGAATTGATCGGATTAATCCCAGCCGCCAAATTTCGTGAACGCACTACGCGGCAAACGTCCCGATACCATCCACACCATCTGGATGCTTGGCGGTCCACCACAATACGTTTTAAAAGGAGTTTTCTTCCGCGTACAACCTCTCTGTAGAATGGTTTACCACCGGCGATTTTTTCGGACCGATACGACCTGGGGACCTTCAAGAAAAGAGCTTACTCCTTTCTAAAAGGCCGGCAACGCACCTGCAATTCCCCTGGTGTTGCGGTTGATCATGGGCGGCGGTAGTCACTTAACATCAGGTGAGCCGCATGCTCTTTTGCCCCCTCTTCTATAAAAAAAAAAGTTGAGTAATTTCTTTAGTTGCTAAAAGAGTGTTTTAGGGCTAGTAAGTATGACCCCCCCGAACGGGTTCCCGCCTCGTCGTGGCGGGGGGGCTTAGAAGCCGTGGCTTGGTCACCCACGGCGAAACAAAGAGGAACCCATATGGCTGGTCCAAGGTGGAGGGCCGGCCCGAGGTGGCCACTCCGAGTGGGCTTGGGGAGCCCACTTCGGATGTGTGTTGGTGGACTGCGGTGAGAGGTGTGTTCTCCCCACCTACCGCTGCAGCCGAGGTGGAGTCGCGGAGGAAGAGGAGTGTTGGTATGGCGATGCGCCACTCGCCCTATCCTCCGCGACTCAAACGGGGCCGCACCGTTGATGCGGTGGTGGTGGGGCTGCGGGGGGAGAGGATTGTCGGTATTGCGAGGCGCCGCTCTCCCTACCCTCCGCAGCCGAATCTTGGTTGGCGGCGGAGTCATAGACCAGATCCGCCGCTGGGGTCGGGAAGGCTAGTACCGAGAAGGAAGGCGCGCCATTTGTTCTGGTGCGCCTTACCTGTGAAGGAGAACGGGGTGGAATATTCCGCTCCCGAGGAGGTGCTGCCATGAGGCGGCAGGCGCTGGTGGGGCTGCGGATGTGTGCGAAAGCGTTCCCGTGGCCCTGCCAATAGCGACAAAGGTGGAACACCATGGGGTTTTAGTCAGTGCGATTCCGACATAACCCGTCCTTGCCCCCGCGAGGCGGGTATGCGTAGGCATTTCCCCATGTACAAAAAAAAAGGGCTAGGAAGTATTCACTGCGCTACTTTAATGCTTGTAGTATTTCTGTTTTCTCAGGCATGCATGCGTTTTTGATTCCTCACGATGTTTTCCTTTATCACCGAGTACGAGGTAAATCAGCACGTGTAATAACAATTTACAATTTTATTGTGAAATTAGCAGCGCTTAGCTTCCACATCTCTAAGCTAAAAAGGTCGAAAAGTTTTTTTTTTTTCACTCAACCTAAGAGATAGTCTGTGATAAATATAAATAATAATAATATAATATTGTGAACTAGATATTTTTCACCTTAAATATAATAATTATAAAAAATATTGTAAAACTTAATTTATAATTGGTAGCTTCACTATAGGTTGTGTGTATTGTATTACTTTTAACTGTTTAGTACTTAACCCTTTATATCACCGTGGGACAGTACTGGAACACACCAAATTTCTCAATATAAAATCTAAAGCAAATTATTTTTTCGGTTAATATACAGTGTTCCCGCTCTGGAACATATCGCGCGTCAATGTTTAGTATTGTTCATACACCACAGATGGCGCTTTTTCAACACAAACGAATTTGAATCAAACAATGTGACGATTCCTAAAATACGTTTGTTTAGTACCTAAGTTTTGAAAATAGATGAAAATTATTTAAACTATGAAATCTGTTTGTTTGTGGTGTGAATTTACTAGGTAAATGTATGTTAATTGCTATTTATTGTAGATATTGAATAGTTTTATGTAATTTTTGAATATAATTGCCGTTTTGTGTTTGTGCCAGTTCTGGCATATTGTGTTACTAAGTACATTGAGCACTTTTTTATTATTGCGACAGGATGGCATCCAGAGGTCTAGGAGACGAGCAAATAGAGGAGTTCCTCTTTGATTATGCAGAAAGTGAAGACGGATTCGATGGTGATGACGACAGCATTGCAGATCCTGATTTTGTTCCGAATTTGGAGATGCCAACGGACCCCGATGATTTTGAAGAGGTTGATGGAGTGAATTTTGACACCATCATTGAAAATATTGAGAATTCAAGAAGTAATTCCCAACCGCCAACTCCTTCTGAAACCTTTCCTCATCCAGGACCATCATCTAGACCTGGATCATCAGGACGCAGTCAAGCCAAGCAAAAACTGAATTAACGTTGGAAAAAGAGAAAGAACCTCCAGCTAAATGAGCAGCAACTCAGCTTTACAGGTGACGAAGACTTGCCAGCAGAGTTTCTAGAACTTGATAGTCCGGTACAGTTCTTTTTCAAAATATTTTCCAAGGAACTTTTTGTAGAAATAGCCAACCAAACTAACCTTTACATTGTGCAAAAAGATACTAACATGCCATTCCGGGTCATAGAGACGGATATCCAGCATTTTATTGGTCTGGTTTTCATTATGTCGTTAGTACATCTGCCAAGAGTGACGAAACATTGGAGTGGTAGTTTAGGAACACCTCTAGTAAAAGACACAATGCCGGTAAATAAATTCGAAAAAAATCAGACGATTTATTCACTTCAACAATAACGCGAAAATAGTTCCTCGCGATCACGCAGACCATGACCGCCTCTACAAAATCAGGCCAATTGTGTCGAAACTAAATGAAACTTTGCCTCAATGTCCCGTTCGAGAAGTATCTCTGCGTGGATGAATTGATTTGTTCCACGAAAGCTAGACACAACCTCAAGAGATATAATCCTAAGAAACCCCATAAATGGGGCTACAAAATCTATGTCCTGAACGGCGTGAGCGGGTTTGCTTACAAGTTCGAGCCAGAAACTGGAGCTGAAAATGTAGTTGAGCCCAATGAGCCGAACCTGGGTTCTGCAGCAAATGTCATCGTCAGGCTAGCTCGTGAATTTCCACGCAATCAAAATTACCGCCTATATTTTGACAACTACTTCACATCCCTGCTACTACTAGAATATTTCGCTAAACAAGGAATATTGAGCTTGGGAACCATTCGACGCAACCGAATACCTGACTGCAAACTACCCGCAGAAAAAGAAATCTCCAAAAAAGAACGTGGCTATTCAGTCGAGTATGTTGCCTGTGTCCAAGGAACAGATATTTCTAGAGTGGCCAGGAAGGACAGTAAAATGGTCACACTTGCCCTCAGTTTTGTGGGTGAACTACCCAAGTCACAAGTATCTAGATACGATAAGCCCCACAAGAGGTATGTGACCATTGATAGACCAAACGTGGTGGGAGAATACAACCGCCACATGGGCGGTGTCGATCTCATTGATAGTATAATGGGTAGATATAAAATAAAACTACGAAGCAAGAGATGGCAGGTTCGAATGTTTTACCATTTCCTGGACCTTGCCATGTCCAATGCCTGGTTACTGTACAAGAGGGTTTATAAGACCAAGAATACGAATGGACCACTGCTGTCATCTGCTGACTTTCGTGAAGAGATTGGTACGGTGCTATGTAAGATGGGGTAGATATAAAAGCACACGTACAACGCCGAAGCATTGAACCAGACATCCAGGCTAAAAAACGCAAGGGTCCAGCTCAATTCGTGCCTCCAGCAGCTGTGCGCCAAGACCAAGTAGGTCACTGGCCAGTATGGGTCGAAAAACGTATCCGTTGCAAGCTCCCTAATTGCTCTGGCAAATCACAGACCATTTGTGAAAAGTGTGGAGTTGCATTATGCAACAACAAACAAAACAATTGTTTTAAAACGTTCCAGACTTCGTAGTGGAACACATTGCAACAATGTACCCGTAATAGCACACTTCCTTTATTTTTATTTTGTGAGGTAAATATAAAAAAAATGAAAATTAAAGAATACGTGTTTTCTTATTTTCCAAATTCTACCCTAACAGCTGCTTTTTATTAAATAATATTTTATTGAGTTATAAAGGGTTAATGTTTAATTATAAATACCATTTGGTTATTTTTTTTTAAAATCTTTAAACATATTGTGGTTGCAAGCTTTTAATATGTATTAGATATCTGTGGAAACTTCATTGCTTTTAGGATTACTTTTATATTTTTTATAATGTATTTTTATTGTACTGTATTTTCCTTAAAAAGAAAATAAATAAATAGACAGACAATTTGAGTTAAGGCTTTTTGTTTACGGTAAACTAAAGTATTGTGCTGTTAAAAAAGTTCAGTATTTACTTTTAAATACCGCATTTTTCATCGAGAATTTGTTTTTTAGCTGCCTATTTACCTGTCTAATAATTAAATTTTATATAGATTACAAATTATCAAATAAATAAGTGACCGTTTTGAAAACCACTAGACAGGGGCACGGCAATAAACCATTTTGAAGTCACTTCGTTATTAGTTCAGACGCAATAATTCAAAAGTGTACATTTCTTCATCAATTTGAAAGGTTTCATACCAGTTTCATACTAAATAGTAACAACATATGTGGCAATGTACATTTACAGAAATTACTGGACGTACAACAAAAACAGTCAAGTCATTTTCTTAATTTTTGCCATCAATAACTGTCAAATTTTTATTTAACAGCCTGCCCACCTACTAATGTAAATTTTTTGTTCATTTGTTGTTATAAATAACGCGTGCTCAATGTACGTATTCGAAGAAAAATTTAGAATAATAATCGTAACATAGCTGTTTGGTGATAAAAAATAAAGTTCAGAACGTTAAAAAAATTTAAGTTACAATATAGCTGTAATTATAGTGCGACGTATATAGTATAGTACGTTTCAATGCCGGGCACAGGCCTCCCCTCATTTCTGAGAGGGTTTTAGAGCAAGAAAACATCCGCCACGCTGCCGCAACGCATGTTGGCGAAATTCACATGTCTTTCAGAAATATATGTATTTTTTTGTTTCTCAGGCATACAGGTCTTCTCACGGTGCTTTCCTTCAACGCCTAGCACGTGGTATATCAGCACTTAAAATTGCAATTGATAATTTCATTAGTGGCAGTGGGGATCGAACCCGGTTACTCGCGCACTGTAAAATTTACAGCGAGCGCTTATTCCCTCAGCTACCACGGCTCGGATACAAGAAAAAATCTGGTATGTGCGAGGTTTGACCCACGAGGTGGGGGCTGTTAGATACTCGGTTACAATAACTCCGACCCCCGGTAGGGGCCGATTCAAACTAAATGGATAAGTTCGAAGGACCAGCGTGTAATTGCGTTTTTATGAGACCCTGTATGCTCACCTGCGATCTTCGAATGTGACGCGGCGAGGCGCTCCACACTTCAACAGCTGCGATGCAGCGACGTGGCCCAATTGGCAGGCTTTGTTTAAAGGTCTTGCACGCGGTATCACACAGTCCATCATATGTAACAGTTATGTAGGTTTCTATAACATTACACGTGGAGAGCGTGAAGGGAAACGCGCGATACAGCCCGTAGAAGACAACGCGAACCACGAGTCCAACGTCGTGCGGCGCGCCCGTGGCATGGCGCGTACGATATGCGGACTGGGTGATGACGCTTCACAAATCCATCACCATGAGGTGCACGCACATGCACAAATAAATACTTTAAACATCTTTTACAAAAACGAACATAATAAAAATATTTATTTAACCTATTTTAATTCTAATACAAAAAAAAATTATTGAGCAGTTCTACTTCGGTCCATTTGATTTGCTCCTCATTGGCAAGATCTTGTAGGTAGTAATTTTTGCGTAGTCTGATGAAGATTTTCACAGAATATCGGCGTAAAGTAACAGCTTAACGCTGCTGTGTTTTTTATGGTAAGTGTAGAAAACATGTGACCTTTTCACTCTGAAGCGAAGCATTCCTAAGACGGTTCTTAGGGAACTAAGATAATAGACTTTCAAGAAAAAGTTTACTTGTAAAGGGGCGGCGGTAGTCACTTAACATCAGGTGAACCGTATGCCCCCTCTCCTATAAAAAAAACCCAGCTGGCTAGGCAGACTTTGTTCTGCCCATTCCAATGACTTTCTGTCGTTTAAAAAGTCTTTAAATTCACAATAAAAATATTCATAGTCACTTATCGGGATAAAGCCTATCTAAGTTGGAGCAACATTTACAAAATTTCATTAAAAGTGAGTGGTTATGTAGTTCATCGCGGACAAACAATGTGACACGTAATTTTTATATAAAGATGAGCCGGGGAGATCGAATTCGATTTGCTCCCATTTGGCCATGTCCAACAAGTATATAAATAAAATCCACTGCCACTTTTTGCCATGAATCCCGATCCTGTATAATGATATGGACTGATCAAGCTCATCGACTCCACCCATACCTTTATTGTAGTTTTCAAATAAAAGCGGAATCCTTACATAGGTTTTCTCTGGTTCCCAAAGGTTCATCAAAAGAATCAAGTGATTTTCCACAGTAAAAATCAAATGTGTAGCAGTACCCAGTGGAACTTGCAGCAACCCAGTTCTTATATCCAAAGCGGACTGGTTTGCCTCGTATAAATTGCTTACTGGGGTTGTGTCCATAATATTTGACCATTGAATCGTCAATTGAAATATTTTCGTGAAATACGTTCCATTGATTGGATTTGGACATGAGTATATCGGCTAGGGATCTAATTTTGAATATTTTATCTCAGGAATTTGATGCTTCATCGTTATTCACAAGATGAAGATATCTTTTTATTTCACGAAATTTATTCCTTGACATAGCTCTTGAAACTAGAGCAACTCCGACGTTCTCATCCAGAGACCAATATAATGCTTCCCGAGGCAATTAGTGATAGCCTGACAAAATTAAAATACGAATGAACTGTTTTAGGTCTGGTAAATCAAGTTGAAAATAATGTCTATTGTTTTGATTAGCGTACAAAACACTATTAGATAATATGAGCTGTAATACTTCTTCATCCAGTATTTTTTCAAAAATCTGTACTAGATTTTGGTCTTTCAGCTGTTCCTTTGTAGCATTTTGTTTATCTTGCACCTCAAACGTATGCTGATGGCCAAAACTATAGGATGGTGAACATTTTTCCAGGCTAGAGTTTGCTGCCACTGCTGAATATTAGGCTGCCAATGAACTGGTTTTACAGCCCATGGTTCTTCGTCACTGGAATCAAAGTCGCTCGACAAAGTACCTTCATAGCGCACCATAACCTCAATATTTCCGAGAACATCTCATGGCAACGTATATGTCACCATATCTTGATCAGATCCTTCCTCGTCGTCAGTCACGACACTGGGATCAGGTGGTATTATCGCCAAATCATATTCAAGGTCATCATCACTATCTGCTGTGAGTGCTTCAGTTGCTTCCTCAAGTCCTGTAAAGCTATTTGTACCAGAAAACATCTTGCGACTCATTGTTGATAAACTGAAACAAAGTTGTATTTTTTTATTTATTGAAGTGACCAATGTACTCAACTGAGTACATCACTAAAAATCTTCATCTAAAGTTAGTAGTAATCAATAATTGTTTCAAATTTGGAACTCACATTATAGATTGCACTATATCTTATCACAATTATTACAAAAAACAACATTTACACAAAAATAATAATAAAATAAAATAAAAATAATACTCACTTGCGCGCTAGTTTAATAACATGAAATCGGGTTGATCCAAATAACATATATTTTAGAAATACCATCAATTTGCATAAATGAAAAAATATGAGTCTACCCTCTATTTAATTTATTGAAATAAAAAATAACAAACCCTCACAGATTTATACAACTAATTTTCAAACAACTGTACTTGTTTGAGCACAGCGACAGAGAATGGGTTAATCAAATATTGTTCATATTATGTATGATTTGTCTATGATTAGTGACTTAATCGGTCAACTTTTCTCTATGTATGTATATATTTTTCTCTTATTTTAATGGCCGACTGCACTGCACCTATTTTTGTAAGTCTTGACTTATTTAATCAATTTATTGAAGTGGATGCTGGATAAACATTTTCATTTTATTGTCGTCACCTCGCCCTACGTTTTGCCCAATGAGAAATGCCAGAAAGATCTTATAACTTCCGATGGGTGATGATATAACCATCTCATTTTCTCTTTCTCTAACCGGGTGAAAAATAACCACACCGGCATCGGGGAGCAAACGTCAAATGTGCGAAGTGACTATTAAGGAAAATTCTCCTTAAAGCATACCCACATAATCTAAGCAATATCATTTTTTAAACCGTATCCTTCACACTAGGATTTCTTCCCGTAGTGTGGGGGTTAATTGTGTTCTGTGTAATTAATATACATAAAATCCACAAAGACAAACAGACCAAATCGGCACAAATATTTATAGGCTACTTAAATACAACAAGTTATGCAACTCATTATTTAGCTAATGCGCCACAGAGCTTTCAAGCTGTATAATAAGTTATACTCCAAACGCAAGCCTAATAGCACGCTGTGCACTCTAAGTATCTCAATCTAATCATCATTTAATTGACAAAGGCGATCGGCTAATGTAGATTGAGAATTACCAAAATTAAAACCTCCCATCTAGATTTTGACCTTCATGAGATTAGCAAGGATGCTGATTAGCATTACTAGAGAGAGGATATCACTTTTATGTTAACAGAGCAACCTGTCTGCCTAGAGTAGTGAGTTCGAAGCATGTTTATATTCATTTGATGCCAGTTAACGCATTCTTGAAAACGCATATTTCCAAGATGGACCTATAAAAGCTGACGAAGAACTAATTTAATATTTTATAGTTAATAAGCTTTCGCCGTATGGGGTATATATAAGGAAGAAAAGTTCTCGAGTGGCAGCCTCTTACCGGAAGGCGAAGAGTAGGGCGTCCTCCCACTAGATATAGTGTCGACCTGTAAAGACATGCAGGAAGTGATGGACGCAGGTTGCTCAGGACAATCAGCGTATGAAACACAGCAGCATCATACTTCTAATTTAAGGTAGTGTTATGTGCGTTTGGGCATCATAATACACAACAGCGTGGCTCTGCTTTTTCGGTGGTATTCCCCATACGGCCAGCAGTGAAGTAAAGTTTTATACCATACAAAAAACCATGATACCTCATTTTTATATTTATTCAACACTTTAATAATTATAAAGATGAAGCGAAGTAGGCACATACTAAATCGATTATAGTAGTCTATAATTCAGATACATTAACATGATTAAAAATGATTTAGGTGAACATTAACCTTGTGTAGGTAAATTGACAGTTTGAACCTCACTATTACGATGTTAAGATCCGTCCGTGATTTAATTATATATGATTATTGCAATAGAATAGAATTATAAATCTAAGTGTTGCATTTGATTCGTGTGAAATAGAAGAACGTATTTTTCCTTTTTGTGTTATTACAGTTTATTATAGCCTCTATATAGCGCACGGTCTTACCGAGTATAATGTTTAGAACAAAAAACAAATAATTTGTGATAGGGAAATAAACGTCTTTTTCCATCCTTGTACAATAAATAAATAAATGTGGCCTTGAATTAGATTTTTTTCTTTGAAATGGAATTATCAGTACCCGTTACTAATCATACAAAACATAGAAGTATAAGTTTTAATTATTAATTTGTAATTTTAAAATTATCCGAACCCTGTTAAGGACCACACCTATTGCTAATTTAGCTGGAAATTTATTCTATCACGTAAATAGTTATTTTAGACGGATGACCTCATTTATACACAGTAATATATGAACTCTGTTTAGTACGATCAGTCTAGGATTGTATAATTCTTTTCCATTTTTTCTAAGTGTTACCATTATTAAAGTTTGTAACGCATATTATTTATAATCTATAAGAGTGGTTATACATTTGTGAATTTCTTTTTCGTAATATTTAACTTGCAGTTTTATTTCAAATATAATTTTTTTCATTCTGATTTAATTCATTTCATTTCTTAGTGATCATGACATTCTCCATCATCATTACAGCCCTTCACAAGTCCACTGCTGAACATAGGCGTCCCCCAAGTAATGCCACAAAGCACGGTCTGAGCCACTTGCATCCATCGACTTCCATGTCGCATGTCTTACCAGGTCGTCACTCCATCTAGTGGGGGGGTCGCCCTACACTACGCTTACCGGTACGAGGCTGCCACTCGAGAACCTTTCTTCTCCATCGGTTATCGGTTATTCGAGCTATATGGCCGGCCCATTGCCACTTCAGCTTACTAATCCGTTGGGCTATGTCGGTCACTCTGGTTCCACTGCTGATATGCTCATTTCTGAGTTTACCACGCAGAGAAACTGCGACCATAGTACTCTCAATAGCTCGCTGAGCGACCTTGAGCGTCCTCATACGGCCAGCAGTAAAGGACGACGTCTCAGATCCGTAAGTCATCACTGGCATTATGTCATTAATGTTATCCATGACATTATCTAAGCGAAAATAAGCTTCAAGTATAATTTGATTCTTATGTTGTGGTTATACATAAATTTACATTAAAACAGTTAATTTACAAACAAGCAATGGTCATAGTAAAAGCTTTTAACACACCAGGATCAATGTTGTTAATTGTCACTGTAAACAAAAGATAGAAAAAAGGTTTGTTCTCATAATCAAAGTCGAAAATTAAAATGTTTAGAGTAAAAAGTAAACTAACAGATAAAAAAATCAAAGCCATCAGACACGGGTAAACATAGTCTGGGAAAAATTTAAAAACATTTCTTTTGTCCTATTGATTCTTTCATCAGTATATAACTATGTAAATATTATTGGTTCCCGGGGCTTGATGTCGACTATCAAAGGATTTGTACCTTCATCTTTATTGACGTATAGTTGATGTTCGTAATTTTGTGTCGTAAAACAGTAAATGCTATAGTACTCATACGTTCATTAGTTATTATAGGCTGATTTTATATACAATTTGAATTCTTATCTTTTACCTCTAATATCCAGACTACTAAAATTTAATTTTTAATATGCAAATAAGCTAATTAATATTGTTAGGAGCTTGAGGTTCGTGACAATAAAAACTGCCGATTGAATTACCAAAATTTACACTTTCATTCACTTTACACTAATTAAAGCTTAAAACACTAATAATTAACCAAACTGATTCACTTTATTTCGCTCCGAAGCTTCGCTTTTCTCGCCAAATTCAATACTACCCCGATCGCGTATTACAGCGCCTTTAAATACACATTTCACCAAAACATTCAGAATATTCAAGTAAATACGCGCGCCAACCGACCAGGCGCCGAAAGTTCGAGTGCAGGGCTTCTAGAAAGTTTAGTTCTTCAATTCGATACTAGATAGCGCTGTCGGTTGAAAGATTAGTCATGTTATTTTCTGGAAAGCTCTCTTCGCTCTGTTACCAGACACTAGATGGCGCTAGTGCCAGACGTCAACTTAGGTGCGCAACACTGCCCCCTCCTAAGACATGCTCGTCCCGAGCATTATCGGCCCCATAATAACGCGCCAGGCGATCCACATGGACGATCTTAGGAGTCCCTCTTGCGCCTTTCTGTATCCGGTAAGTTACATCGTTGATCCTGGTCACAATCCGGTACGGGCCGTGCCATTTAGCTTGAAGGTTAGGAGATTTCCCTTTGCTGCGGACTGGATTGTGCAACCACACTAACGAACCTTCGTCGAACCCTTTGTTGTTCATTTTGCGGTCGTACCGGGTTTTCATCTTTTCAGACATTTGCTGGCCCGATTGTCTGACGTGCTCATAAATGTCATTCATTTTGTTCCGCTAGTCATTTGCATAATCGGTTATACTGCGTGGGGCATCAGGTGGTATCTCGGTGATCAGGTCTGCAAGCAGCCGTAATTCTCTTCCAAAGTTTACGAAATCTTGTGTCACTGATGTACTTTCGTGAACAGCGCTTCGATATGACAACAAAAACGGTTGTATGTGCTTGTTCCCCCAATCTCGTTGCCGATTGTCTACAACTTTTGCTATGTATGTCTCCAATGTCTGATTAAATCGTTCTACCATTCCATCAGATTGCGGGTGATAAGAAGTCGTTCTTGTTTTATGAGTACCCATAACTCGACAAGTTTCCCGGAATATTTGAGACTCAAAATTCCTTCCTTGATCGCTGTGAAACCCTAAAGGTACTCCAAAACGACAGAAGACTTCATGAACTAGTTTATCTGCAACTGTTGAAGCTTCTTGATTTGGAATGGCGAAGACTTCTGGCCACTTAGTGAAGTAATCCATCACAACCATGAAATACTTGTTACTGCTTTCACTCTCCGGAAACGGCCTCGCCACGTCAATGGCTATTCTCTCCAATGGTGCACCAACATTGTACAACTTTAATGCACCTCTACTACGAGTCTGAGGTCCCTTTACAGCCGCACAACTTGTACATTTGCGACACCAGTTCTCGACATCGTTTCGACAGCGGACCCAGTAAAACTGTTCTCGGATCTTCAGTAGAGTTCGTTTAACTCTCAGATGGTCTCCTGAACAATCATTATGGTACAGCTGTAGAACATCCGGTACTCTAGCTTTAGGGACGACCATTTGCAAATGACAGCTGTCTCCCTGAACATTTTCCCATTTACGGCACAGAACTCCATCCTGAAGCAGCAAGCTGTCCCATTGGGCCCTATAGCTTTTAGTGGTTGAACTCATCGCTGAGACGTCGCTCCACTTGGGCTTGGGAGCACTGGCCTTTATCCATTCCAGAATCGGCTTGATGTCCGGATCTTCCTGCTGTGCATGTAGTAAGCTGTCTTTCCGCTCGTTGCTGAGGTGGTCTGTCCTTAGCATCGTCACGGATACTACTCTCTTGCCTATTACAATGGTTGTAATATTCAGGACAAGGTCTTCTTGACAATGTATCTGCTTTGCAGTGAGATTTTCCGCTGCAATGTTCAATTCACCTCGCAACTTGTCCTTCTGGATTTTTAAACTGTAATAGCCATTTTAATGTAGCATGGTCAGTTCGCAAGTGAAATTTCCGCCCAGAAGATATTTACTAAAATGCTGCAACGACTTTACCACAGCTAGTAATTTGCGTCTTGTGACACAATAGTTCCTTACCGGTTTTGACAACGACTTGCTGAAGTACGCTATCACAACCTCTCGATCACCGTTCCGTTGAGACAACACACCAACGAGTCCGGTATCACTTGCGTCTGTATCAACTATAAATTATTTGCTTGCATCAGGGTATCCCAAAATAGGTGTTTTGCACAGACGGTCCTTGAGCTCCCGGAATGCGATATTGCAACTTTCATCCCAGCAGAAATGTCGCTTCACCTCGGTTGGCTTATGCAGAGGTTTGGCTATATCTGCAAAGTGCTTCACAAATCGCCGGTAATAGGAGCACAAACCCAAAAATGCTCTAACCTGCGTCTTGTCTTTTGGAACCGGCCAATCCTTGACAGCGGCGATTTTCCCTGGATCCGTGCGGATACCTTTTTCCGACACTACATACCCCAAAAAGTTAACTTGGCGTATGAATAGTGAACATTTCTTCGGACTCAACTTGAGGTTGGCACTCTGAATCTTCATGAGCACGCGTTCCAGGTTTTGAAGGTGTTCCTCAAACTTACAGCCTACGATGATGATTTCATCCAAGCAGACCAGACAGGCATCGCCAATTAGCCCGGTAAGTACAAGTTCCATCAGCCTTTCAAACGTTGCTGGAGCATTGCACAACCCAAACGGCATTACTTTAAATTGCCACAGACGCTTTCCCGTCGAGAACGCAGTTTTCTCCTTGTCCTTAGGGTCAATTTCAAATTGCCAGTAGACACTTTTTAAATCCAGCGTGCTAAACCACTTTACTCCTGTAAGCATATCCAGCGTGTCATCAATTCTTGGCAAGGGATAGCTGTCCTTCTTCGTAACGTCGTTCAGACGGCGGTAGTCAACACAAAACCGCATGCTGCCATCCTTCTTCTTTACCAGCACCATGGGTGAACATCATGGACTAGAGGAAGGTTCAATAACACCATCCTTCACCATTCCTTCAATCATGGTTTTCACTTCCTTTTCTGCTACCGCCTTCTTCGTTGACGGATGGGCAATTCTTCTCCTGTGTTTATTTTGTGTTGAACTAAGCCAGTCTTTCCTATGTCAGCATCGTTTGATGA